TAGTAACCTCAAGGGTCCTTGTCGACTCTTCCCTCTTCCTTTTCCTCCACATGCAATGTATACCAATTCCTATTAAAAGGTCCTTTATGTAAAGAAAAGAATGTGGATGGACTTTGATGTTAGAGACTTACATTCAAATTTTGACTCAGCCACTTACCAGTTATAGGACTTGGATCGAATTACTTAATCTCTCTGAGCTTGTAATTTCTTATCTGTAAATAGGGATAATAGTCAGATATGGAACTCTCCACAGTGTTGCAAACAGTAAATGAGAAAATGCATGAAAAATGTCTAGCGTAGGCAGAGCAGATACTCACCAATTTTAATCTTTTTTTTTTTTTGCCCCTAAAAAACTCACATTCCCACTGCCTTCTTAGTTCAGGACTTCATCACCTCTCACCTGCATTATTGAGATGGCCATAGAAAGAGTCCTTCTGCCTCTCTTCTCTTCCCTGCCCTCAACCCCAAGCGGTCTGATTTTCCAAGTGCTGCATTCTGTGCCTTTCTCACACACAAATCAGTCACATCACTCCCCAGCTGAAAACTTTTGCTTAACTCCCAGAGATAAAACTGCTTATCATCTATCTATCTTCTATCATCTCATCTTTCCCTGACCACATCATGTCTGTTCTAGCTAGAGCTCTTTTGATTGTAAGGTACAGATACTCACTCAAACTAGCTTAAGAGAAGGGGAAGCTCAGTGCAAAGGGTGCCAAGAGCTCTTGGAAAGGCAATGACATTGGACCAGGTCCAGACCTAAGCAGACTGCCAAGCCCACTCCCCTCCTTCTGGCCCCAAAATATGGAATGTAGTAAAATGTAATAAAATAACTTTTTTTGCTCTTTATGAATGTTTGAAACTAAGAGAGTAATCCCCAGGTGCCAGGAATAAGGAACTCAAATTCAAAGTAGTTAGTAGGGGATGAAACCCACATAGATTTCCATGGCTCTGCTGCCTGCAGGATGCGTGTGGGATCAAGAGAAGCAGACGAGCCCAAGAGAAGCTGGATCCTATCTACTGCATAAGGTCCCTGCATAAAGTCAAAAAGGGCTGAGAAAACAATGGCAAAAATTCTGCCCCTTGGCCTGGGTAAGAACCAGAAAAACTCGCCATTCATGAAAGTTATGTTTGGAAAAGGGATTATCTGGTGGAAGTCAGAGCCCAGGATTGTGCCATGCCTGTGCACAGAGCTCAAACTTGGGCTTTCTACATGATGCCAGGAGCTCAAGACGAGAAACTAAGTAGTGAAACCCTCCAGGCCAGGCAGAAGCAAAACCTAAGCCTTACTGTGCAGTGGCTCCTGAAGCCTGGCTCATTTGCATGTCCCAGAGAAAGCAGCACGTGCCAGAGAAGCACTCTCAAGGCATAATGACAATGACACGGGGAAAGGAGTCCCAGGTGCCACAAGTGAGATACCTGGTGCCCCTAGAACTAGGGGAAAAACCAAAATCCCAAATAAATGACTATTATCATTAAAACTTCATATATATATATATATGTAACTATTACTCACCTCAAATTTGTTTTTTTATTTATTATTTGTGTCACCCCTCTAGAACGTAAGTGCTCTGAGGATAGTTCACTGCTATCTTGCACTGAAGAGGAAGGCACTGAATTAATATTTATTTGAGGAGTGAAAGGGGCCCCCGCCTGGGTGGCTCAGTCGGTTGAGCGTCCGACTTCGGCTCAGGTCATGATCTCACAGTTCGTGGGTTTGAGCCCCGCGCCAGGCTCTGTGCGGACAGCTCAGAGCCTGGAGCCTGTTTCAGATTCTGTGTCTCCCTCTCTCTCTGCCCCTCCCCTGTTCATGCTCTGTCTCTGTCTCAAGAATAAATAAATATTAGAAAACATTAAAAAAAAAAAAAAAAGAAAGGGGCCTCAATCAATCTTCTCTTTACACATCAGAGAACAGCCTCATACCAGGCAAACAGCACCTTAGTAAACTTTGAAAAATAATGTTCTTATTGGCTTATAACCCCAGATTCATCATTAAAACTTTTAAATGGAAAATTTCAAACACATGCATTGGAGAAAATAAAGAAGCTCTATGCGCCCATCACACAGTTCCAACAATTATAAATTCATTGTCAATCTTGCTTCATAAAGTAAATATTTTTTTCAAGTTCACAAATAAAGGGGAAAAAAAGGATTCCATGAGGCAAGAATGGAACCCTACAAAATATGAGAAATCAAAATGAAAAACAACATATTAAAAGTGTAGAAATATAGGTTATATCATTAGTTTAAAAAAAAAAAACTAACTTGATGGATAGTTGAACAGAAATTTAGACACAACTCAATAGATACTTAAACTAGAAAATGCCTCTGAATAAATCACCTAGAATATAGGGCAAGAGGCAAAAAGATGTAAAACATTAAAAAAAAAAAAAATCAGAGGCTGAGAGGTTGGAATAAGATGTTTCAGAAAAAGCAAATGGTGGTGGAGAAGACAGTGAGTCTTCCAAAGCTGGAGACAGAAGTTTTCAGATGTGAAAGAATGTCCTGGATCTTTAGCAGAATCCATACAAATAAATGGAGTCACAGGCTCACAGTCCTGTGACTGTGGAACAAACACTAAAGACAACAAGAAAATCTTAAGAACTGCCAGAGCCCCAGCTACAAATTGATAAATACACCTCACGGGTAAAATCAGCTTGTTGCCACCCCAAATTCATTCTCTCTTTCCATCTTAACATAATCATTTTTTGTTCCAAGCAGTACATCAGATTAAGCAAACAACAGCAGTCAAAAAACACACTTGGTTTTAGCTCCCCCCTTATGCTGGAGTGGCCACGTGACAAGATTCTAGTCAGTGAGACATGGATGGAAGCTCCCACCTCTGGAAAGCCTTTCTTTGCTGATATAGGCATTGCCCCTTTATATAATCTTCATGGATACGGCCCGAATTTCTTTAAAAAAATTTTTTTACACATTTATTCATTTTTGAGAGACAGAGCGAGACAAAGCATGAGTGGGAGGAGAGGGGCAGAGAGAGAGGGAGACACAGAATCTGAAGCAGACTCCAGACTCTGAGCTGTCAGAGAGCCCAATGCGGGGCTTGAACTCACAGACTGTCAGATCATGACCTGAGCTGAAGTCTGACCCTTAACTGACTGAGTCACCCAGGCGCCCCTATATGGGCCAAATTTCTAATTGGTTCCTCTTGTGAAAAGAGTGAGAGACCAAGGAAGAAAAACAGAGAATATTCAACATTAAATTTAAGTTGTAATTTCTTCTGTTTTATAATGTATATGTCTAGAAAAACAAACATAGCAAATATTTAACATTTGCTAATTCTGGGTAATAGCTGTGTGGGTATGTTAAAATTTTGTCTATACATTTTTTTTTTTAATTTTATAAGATTAAATCCAAAAGAAAGAAAAGAACTTCAACACAATGACAGGGCTCCTGAGAACAGAAATGAGAAGGTTCCAGGAGCTGGAGGCTAGTCTCCTCTTGGGGTCTCCCAGAATGAGGGAATGGAAGACGATGCATGAGAGCTCTGCTTCCTCTGTATGGCCTGTCCTTCATGGTCTCTCCTTCTTACTCCATTCTCCCATGGCTCATTTTCCCTCATGACTTTGTACACCCAGGCTCAACCTCAACTCCCTCAGCACCACTATTCATGCAAACTCATTCTCTCAGTTTCCCAGATAAGCACAGCGATCTTTGGTTCCCAATTTGGTCACTCAATAGAGACAACAATGCTAGCTGCTGCCTGAAGCGTCTCCATCCAGGCTGCAAGTCATAGAGCCCTGTCCCAGTTATAAACCAGCTGCTTTGAAGTCAGATATCTATCCCTGGTCCACTCAGTGTGACTGGGGGCTGGACTCCTATGGCACAGATGTGGGAAGTGGCCCCCATAGGTGGGTGGGGAGATGATGGTCATTTTCCAAGCACAATTCTCTCAGGTGGTTTCCTCTTCCTGAAACACACCTCCCCTGCCTCCTTCAGCCCCTTCTCCGCCTGGCAATGTGTTCTTCTTCAAAAGGGAGATCATACTTTTCTAGAAAACCACCCTAACTTCTTCAGGCAGCAGTACACCCCTCCTTTATGCTTCTATAAGCACCTTGTATTTACCTCTATGTACTATGCCACTTACATATGGAATCATAACTATCTGCCCACTTGTGTATCTCCTATACTGGACTGTGATCATCTCAAGGCTAAAGACCGTATCTTAGCTGCCCTTGTATTCCCAATGCCCATTGTTGTCCCTACTGAGTGGCTCAATAAGTGGCCACCATCTAACCTGTGAGCCAAGCCTTTCTAGTAAGTACTCTACAGCATGCTCATAATATGGAGAGTTCACAGAGTGGTGAACCTTGAGTCCAGTTCTCTCAACTTACAGATAGGGAGACTGAGACCCTGGCAAATGAGGGAACTTCACAGGGTCACATGCCTGGTAAATGGGAGCACTGGGTGGGAAGGCGGTCTCCTTTCTCCTCATCAATCATGCAGGAGCCCTTCATAGTACTACCCTTTCTAAGGGCAGTGCTCAAGATGACCCTCCCCAATCCCATTAGGTTCCGGTGAACTCTAAAAATGGAACCCCTCTGTGTGTGTCATCATGTTTAAAGCAGCTTTGGAAGCATATAAACATTTCTAAGACACACAGTGCTCCATAGTATCACTCTTCTCGTCCTTTATCGGAACTACCCTCAATGCGCACCAGGTCCTCCCTAAGAAAGGTCCAGGCACTCAGGCTCTGACATTTGTGTCTGAGGCCCTCTCTGGCCCACGGTGACAGGCAGAGAAAGGACAGATGTGACTCCCTGGCCCTGGCACAGACCATTCCAGCTTATGACGCCGATCTGCCCTGCAGCCCGTTCCACTGTGTTGGAATAGGGCCATGCTTGCACAGGAAGCTCTGTGTATCACTCCGCACTGTGGGCAGGAACCCTGCAAAGCCCTTCCTATGACTGATAAACAGTGTTTGGTTTGGATCAAGAGGAAAAATAAGGCTCTCAGGATAATAGAGGCGGATGGGGAAAACACAGGACTCCAAAATGAGAGCAAAAGAAGATTATTGCTTTGAACCACTCATGTGGTAACTAAGTCTAGGAACAATGAGGGTTGCAGCGGAAACAGCGGCATTGGGAGAGCAAGCTTCCTTCCACCAGCTGCAGTCAAAGCTGCAGGTTCTCTGGGGCAGGGAACTGGTCTGTGCTGTGTTGTAGCTGCCAGAGGACAAACAGCGCAGGTTGAGTAAGATCCTCTTCAAAGGACCAGATCCCAGGACTTCAGCCACAGTGGCTCACGGGAAAGGTATCCCCTCACACAAATGGTGGCATGAGACCATCTGAAAGGAAGAAAAAAGCAGATGGTTAGGCTTTGCTTACAAGGGTTACATCCCTCTCTAACAATAGCGAGGTTGTATTATTTGTTTTTGTTGAACTGCTTTGGGTGGGCAGTGGGTGGCGGGTGAGCTCCCCCTCACAAAGGACATGTGTGAGGAAATGTCCTCCCTGTTTGGCCAGCTCTGGGAGATGTTGTTTTGCAGAGCGAGTAACACAAGTTGAGGGAGAAAGGAAATTGTCCGGGGTGTTAGGAGGGAATTTGAGAGGCCAGGAGAGGGATGAGTAAGAAGAGAAACAGCTGGCAAGGGGGAGAAACTTGAGGGGTGGGGAATAAAAGAAATGTTTGATGGGGAGTTCCATTTACCCTGAAGAATGGGCTGTGACTTTTCTTCCCTGTCTCTCCAAGAAATTTTACTGAAAATTTCAGTAACATATGCCTTTCTTCCTAAGACCCTGTGGGGATGGGGTTTGTTCTGTGGGATGCTGATTTTGGACCAGGGTGGGTGTGGGGTGAGAGCTGAGCTCTCTGTGGCCTGCCCAGCTGGGTTATACTTTTAAATAAATTGTTTCTGTGGAACTGCCCATGCCAGGATCTCAGGCCTTTGACAAAAGTGCCAACTTGGCACGAATAAAGGAAAATAATTTCTTCCCTTATCTCTACTCCCAGAGCTCTGCAATTGTAGTTAAAACTAGATGATTTATTAATAATTTAATGCAGTATAGTACTTATTGAGAAATTTTGTACTTTGTTTTTCTCGGTGGCAGACTCTAGGGAAGAATAGAGCTGAAAAAAAGAGAGGTCACTAGGCAGGGCCTAGGATAAAAAAAAAACCAAAATAAGACTTTTTTTTTAATCCTCGTGGTCTAGGCCTACTGAGGATAAGCAAGCCAGGTTGACCCAGAGTAGGGGTGGATAAAGTCTGGCCGATGGAAGGCTGAAGAGGGAAGGGATTGACCAGCAAAGCAATGGGAAAGGAACAGGGCAGGGGCAGGGAAATGGGCTTCCTAGGGCAGGGGTCAGAGCTGGCTGGTGGGCGGGGCTGGAGTTGACCCTGATGGGATGGCAACGTGGGCACCTGTGCGGCCCCAGGAGCCGCCATAGTCAGCACAGGTCAGGTCACTCTGTATTAACAAATACACCTGAAAACTCTGTGGCTCCACACAGCACATAAAGTGAGTCAAGCTGCTCTAAGTTAGCAACTTTCCCGGGCAGTTGCCTTTCATGTGGTGACCTGAGAACCTGGGCCGCTTCTATCTTGTGGCTATGCCTTCTAGAACACGTGACTTCCAAGGTCATTGCAGAGGGGGATGAGAGGGCAGATCTGTATGCCCAGTATGGTGGCTACTAGACCCATGAGGTTATTTGAGTTTAAATTAATAAAAATTAACTAAAATTAAAAATTCAGATCTTCAGTGCCATAAGGCTAGTGGCTATCATAGTGATCAGTGCGGGTATGGAAAGTTTCCATCATGGCAGAAAGTTCCGTCAGATAGAGCTGGTGTAGGGAGTCACCTGGGCTCTGGGGTCACTCTGGGAGGTGATGTACATCACTTCTGCCATATCCCGTTGGCGAGAAACAGTGTTTTAACCTCAACCTCACTGCTATACAAGGTGAGATATATGTGTGCCAGGGAAGAAAGTGGAATTGGTGAGTTACTGTATCTCATCTCTCTCAGGAGCTGTCAAGGGGTCTTCCTGGCCTGACTAGGAGTGACCCAAGAACTGCCCACCTAAGGTGCATCAGTGAGCTCAGGGCAAGCACCACAGCAGAGCAGAGGCCACAGGGTGGGTCCTCTCCAGTGTCTTGTACAATCCAAAGGTAGAGCAGGAGCAGGGGAGGGGCAGTTAGAGGCAAGGAAAGCCCTGAAAAGAGACTGATAGTTAATTTTTTCTAAGCTTTCTGAGTAAGAAATTAAGTCGGATTTTATTTGATTTAGAAAAATAAAGAAATCAAGGATTTTTTTCCACTTCAACTGCTCTTGGGCAACTTGCATGTTATGTTTCTCTGTCTTGCGAAAGCAATGAGGGGCAGCCAACATGTTCCTAAGGGTTAGAGCTGGGAAGGCTAGTAATGGGCCTCAATGACATCATGCATTGAGTGTTCTCAGCCATCTGAAACGCCCTGTCATTCCTCCCTTGGAGGTGATGTGGATTGAGGGGGAAAGCAGAAACTTTAAAATCCAATAGGTCAGAGTTCCATTTCCGTAATGGAAGCCGGGTCCCCAAAGTAGGATTGGGAGGAGTGGGATCTGGGCAGCCTGACCCAGTGGCCACAGATACAGTCCATGGTACTACAGGGAAGGAACACAGAGACTGCACACTTGGGGCACAGAACCAAGTCTAGGTCACAAGGGCACCAAGACCAAAACTGGGAAAGCAGTTCAGGATGTCAGAAGCCAGGAAGATCAGAGAATATTCAGGAAGCACAGTGCAAGGCAAGTCAGGGCAAAGGGTTCGCATTGAATTCTCTGATCACCATGAGAATAGGATCCAATGATCTTGACTAAAAAGTACGGCAGTGATCTGCCCTGGACAGACTCTCAATCTCTCTGAGTCAGTTTCTGCATCTTGACCAATGGAAATGGTCATTCCCGCCTCCAGTTGTGGCAATGAAGACTAAGGGACATCCAACAGTTTTCTTTCTTTAATCTTCTTTTATTGTTGGTTTTTATTCTACCATATCTTTTTTTTTTTTTAATTTTTTTTTTTCAACGTTTATTTATTTTTGGGACAGAGAGACACAGAGCATGAACGGGGGAGGGGCAGAGAGAGAGGGAGACACAGAATCGGAAACAGGCTCCAGGCTCCGAGCCATCAGCCCAGAGCCCGACGCGGGGCTCGAACTCACGGACCGCGAGATCGTGACCTGGCTGAAGTCGGATGCTTAACCGACTGCGCCACCCAGGCGCCCCTCTACCATATCTTTTAAAACCTAGTTAAAACCCTGAGTCCTTCCTGATATTCACATGTGTGTGTGTATGAGGCAGTTTCTCCAACTAGAATATGAGATTGTTACAAGTATGGAACGCTCTTGGAGTACATTTACGATAGGTCTTCAATGAGTTATTTTGCTACGGTCGGTAAGCTAGGGACCTTACTGTTCAAGCATGAGGTCTATTTTGGACAGTGTATAATTCACATAAGTTGTTAATTGATAACCCAGACATTATTCTGCGTCTTTATGTCAAAGAAACCCAGTTCAGAAAGCACGAGAAGTTATTCTCTTGAAAGTGTGAATCTCAACATCAAGGCTTATCTCTAGAATGCTGTGGCTAATTCTGCCCACAAGCATCAGGAAGAACATTCCACAAAAAGTCCAGAGGGACATGGATGGGTTGTCTTCCACCATGGGGATGGACTTCTGATGCCTGGGAACAGAGGCTGTGAGATAATGGGATGATGATGCCAGGGGAAAGCCCAGCTCAGTCAAAAGCAACAAGCTAAACAACAGAGACTCCTTAAAGTTTGAGAGAGGTTGTCTTGGTGACAAATAGAAGGAAATATTGTTTACTACGCAAGCTGTAAGCATATGGAACAAATTATGCTGAGGATGTCAGGGAAAATTATAAATAGATTCAAAATAGATTCAGATAATTCATGCATACTAGGCCTAATTAATAGGATCTTAAGGGAAATTTGGGAATATTCTATAGGCATCACTAATATTTGGAGATCAACTTCATATAGGAAAAGTGCAAAACTCACTCAGCACACATCTCCCAGCACCCAGGACAGAGATAAACTGATAGGGGGGATCACTAGCCTAACATTTTATGGCTTTTATTAGGTTCCTTTCTTTTTATGCCTTGGAGTCAAGAGCCATGGAGTTGTTCTACACTGAACGGGATTAAGTGAATTTAGAGAGCATGGAAGGGTAGCTTGAAAAAATGGTTTATATTTCTGGGAGAAAAGATACTTTACCAGTACTAAATAATTTGTAAATACAGACAACCTCCCCCATTCCAAATAACCCAGTTAAATCAACCTTGGCATTTATTCAACCTCCAAAGCAGTCCATATGGCCCTGATGTGCGCCAATTAGATGTGTATTACTACCAGCCGTCAGAAGCTTATCTTGCCCTGGAGACAGGAGTAAGCCTGTGCTTTTAGCCACACTCAAGCAGAAAATGTGAGAGAGAAAGGAAGTGGGTGGGGTCTACTGTTCCTAGACATAAAAAGAACAATTAACTTGAATAGAGAAGGGAAGGATTGAGGTTGAGAGGAACTTCAGAGATGGTCCAAAGTGGACCCACCTTCTCAGTTTGTGGCTTACAACAGGAGGTCGGAGGAGGGGAGATAACCAGCAGAGGACGCAGGGGAGGGGTGGATAGGTGAAAACTCTGGTCTTCCCTTACCTCCCACCCAGGACTTCCAGGACTAAACAATTTCCATGCTATGCTGATTAGCTTGAGTCTGGAATGAAGAATTATATATATTGATGTCTAGAATGGAAACTGGAATGATTCCAGGATTTCGTTGGAAATGCTAACATTAAATAAAAAGGTGTAGGTTTAAAAACAGTCTCAAGAAAGTTTGGACATTCTGTCATTTGGGGCAATGCATTCAAGGAGATGTTGGAAAGCAGATGATCCATCAAGCTGATCAATAATAATACTGACCTTAAGAACACAAAGTATTATTCCTGTCCCCTCCTGCACAAAAGAAGGCTTTCCCATATAGGTAGAGCTTGGTTCCTGCTCTAAAGTGTTAGCTTCTTCTGTTTTCATGGACAGTAGAGTTCTGACTATCATAATCTTTCTATTTTTGCTCAAGGAGCATATGAAGGAATGTTGTATAAGATAAGCATAACATTTGTTGGATACTTTTAAATGTTGGCACTCATGATTTCTAGATTAAAGTCCATTCTAACTACTTCCACTGGGGAACCCATTGTCAACACGGTGACATTTCAATCTTGTTTGACCTTGACCCATGATGAGAACCACATTTTATGTCACAACACAGGACACAGGCATACACCCATACACACAACTGAAATACAGGTTTCACAAAATAATACTTAGACTCACTACCCAAGAGCCACTCAGACACCTCCTATTCTCATTGTTCACTTTTGTAAATGCTAGTCCATGTTTTTATTACCCACAAATGGTCATGACCGGTAGGGGGAAACCCTAAGTATGAGAAGACTGCACATGCTCAGTTCACCCCTCATGGACGCCATCCTCTAAGCCAGACCCGAGCAGCGAGCGGATCTGACAGATAATGGGATGCACGCTTTTTCCCATTGCTACTTCCAGCATGGGCTTCCTACACGGCCCCCCTCCTTTTAGGAACCCCAGAAGGAGGCACTGCCACACCCCACATGTGCTCCTGGTTGGACTCAGTTGATGGTCTGAGATCTCCCTTGATTTTCCCTTCCCATAACCATTACCACTTTCAGACAGTGCTTGGAGCAGAGTGCTCAGTGTGACTCAGCAAATGCTGATGGACAGAATGAGGAACCAGTCTACTCATCGTTTCTTTGTGGATTTTATCTTTTTTAATGTTCATTCATTTTGAGCGAGACAGAGAGAGAGAGAGAGAGAGCAGAGGAAGGGCAGAGAAAGAGGAGAGAGATTCCCAAGCAGGCTCTGTGCTATCAGCACAGAACCTGACATGAGCTTCCATCTCACAGCCCTGAGATCATGACCTGAGCCAAAATCAAGAGCCAGATGCGCTTAACCGACTGAGCCACCCGGGCACCACTCTCTATGGACTTTAAATCATTCCATCCTATTAGTGATGTACAAATCAACTTCACAAATCTCATGAAATAACTTAGAGACGCATAATCAAATTGTGCCCAAAGCATGACTTCATACCATTGATGGATTAGATGTATATAAATATTAGACAGACAGGCAGATAATGAGTGGTTATATATGGCAAAAACTCAACTAATCAAAACTCTTAAATAATTACATTTTTATTTATGCTACTCATTTTCTGGAAAAATAAATAAATGAGCAAACTGGGAACAGAATTTTAAAACATCTACAGTTCCTTACAGCTCATGTCCATCCCAGTCTCCTGCCTCTCTAATAACTCACAATAAAGCACAATATGAATGAATATTCATAATACAGGACTAATTTGAGTGAATTTGGATTGGATTTTTGAGTGAATCGGCGAAAGTCAGAATTAATTAACTAATGCCTTTCAGAAAGGCGTTATAACAAGGACTGAACCAAAGGAGATTTGACTTAGTTAAGCAGAAAACTGAATTTTAAAGTGCTCCATTCATTGGAAGGAGAGGGGGTGGGGATTTAGCATTTCAGAAACCATGAAGTGATAGCTTCATATGTAACACCCACAGCTCTCTCATAAGTCGTGTATGACTTTCCCACCTTAAAGACAAGCAAACTGAGACTCAGAGCTCAAGTCTCACCATCACTAAGAGGCAGGGCTAAGAGTGAAACACAATGATTCATTGGCTCCAAACCCATGCTTCAAAAAACTTTAACTCCACCCCATGACCTCCTGGAGAATAGTTTATTTATGCTTTGCTCTCTCTCTCTTTCTTTTTTACTCTCAGTGTGTTGATGAATTTCACTTCATAAATTATAACTGCTGCTCCTTTAACAGTGGTGATAGAAAATAAATCCAAATTCTCGATCTCCAACCACAATATCATTAAGGACCTTCACGTTTCCACCCTCTGTGGATTGCAAACTATACATCCAACATGGTGAGTACCCCCGACCCCGGTGCTGGCCTCACTAGGTGTCACTCTGCCCTGCTTTTTGTAGGTCCATGGTGCATTCCAGCCTGTGTCCCTGGAGCCCCCCACTCTTCCCACACAGGCTGAGTCCCCACAGCCTCCCGGTTGGCCTCCACCTGGGCCAGGTAGGCCAGGCGATCAGTTACCTCCTACAGCTCCCGTATCTGAAATCAGCCTCTCTTTCCCACTAATGGATCCCGCAGGGAAGGAGGTTTCTAATGACTAAAAGTAAATGAGGTTGGGTGCACATTTATGATGCAAATAACAAAGACTGTGATAATTCTGGACCGAATAACACCTGTCTGGCCACTATTCAATTCCCGAACTTACTGTGTTCCCCAGAAAGCTGGCCTTAACCTCTGCACAAGACTTAACTGGGATTCTACTAGGCTGGGTATCGGGCCAGCTCCTCCCTGGAAAAGCTCAGTGCATTTCCCCATGGGTATGGACAACCATCTCTGGGAAGACATTCTATTTAAAAACCTGCTGGTGTGCTGGTTCTATGAAATTCTACCTAATTTAAACGCTGGACAAACTTCTCTGGCAGGCATAAATTCAGAATCCTGGAGAGTGACACGGCTGAGCTATAGGTCACATTCGAAAGGCAATTCTACTTATGCTCCCTCCTGGGACAAGCCGAGGACACCAGATAAGCTTGAAAAGCCTAAGCATTGGCCAGCTTCCTGCAGAAGTTTCTAAACCCCTGCCTTTCCCAACAGGACTACTGAAAAGAAAGATGAAGCTCTCCAGGATGCCAAGAAGGTCATTTGCCCAAGGCCTCACAGAGAGCCAGGGGAAGGTTCTGGGTGTGAACCAAGCTCTCTGGCCTGTCCTCATACTCAAAATGGAAGGGACAAGTCGGTGCAGTTGGGGATTCCGTTCCTCTAATTATTCCAGTTACCAGAGGCTTTCATATCTTTTCCTTGTCATCCTAAATGATTCGTTTTGAGTGCTGAGGTTTCATGTTGAAAATATAATGAGAACCTTCGTGAGTTTGGAATGAGATGCAGAAAATTGCACTGGTGGCATTTCTCTGGGGACTGTGAAAGGGAAACCCTGGAGGTGGGAAGTGGATCTGGTACCCCTGGGGGACTCTTGGGTCACCGAGCAGCACACACTTCTCTGGGTTCCAATTTTCCAGCTCTTTTCTGAGAAACGTCGTTTGCCTTTGTCTTATAATCATGGAGAAGGGGGAGACACACTGTGGGAAAAAGCAGCGTCTGGTACTACTAAGTAATTATTTGGAATGAGAGGTTGGCCATCTTATAAGTAGCACTGGGGAGAAAAGGGAGGTCAAGAAGAGGGCGGCCAAACAGAAAAAAAAAAAATCAACTTTTCTAGACGCTACCAGAAGAAAATCAGGCGTGTTGGGTTGGGCTTTGTGGGTGCCCAAATAACCAGGTAAAACATTTTAAATACAGCTAATATAACTATTTTGAATTTGTGATGCCGAACAACTAGCTTGTCTGGTATCTGCTCCTGCTTGGAAACTTCGCAAAGAATGAATGTCTACTCTGCACCATGGAGATAGAATGTTTTCAGAGACTTTTCATGGAGGCAAGTAAATTGTGCCCCATTGAGTGCTTCAAAAAATGCCGATTTCAAAAATCTGTCCTCCCTTTATTTTTTTTTAATTTTTTAATGTTTATTTTTGAGAGAGAGAGACAGACAGAGCACAAGCAGGGGAGGGGCAGGGAGAGAGACAGAGAGACAGAATCTGAAGCAGGCTCTAGGCTCTGAACTGTCAGCACAGAGCCTGACGCAGGGCTGGAACCTGTGAACCATGAGATCATTAGCCAAAGTCAGATGCTTAACTGACTGAGCCACCCAGGCACCCCAGTCCCCCCTTTATTGTTTGATTACCAGATACAACTTCACATATTCCCTGTACTCAGAGAAATTTCTGGGGGTGCCTGGGTGGCTCAGTCGGTTAAAGCATCTGACTTCTGGTTTTGGCTCAGGTCATGATCTCATAGTTTGTGAGTTCGAGCCCCCAAATGAGCTCTGTGCTGACAGCACAGAGCCTGCTTGGGATTCTCTCTTTCTTCCCCGCCCCCCTCTGCCCCTCCCCACTGGCTCTCTATCTCTCTCTCTCAAAATAGATAAAAATAAACTTAAAAAAAAAAAAGAAATTTCTGAATCCACAGCACAGCCAACCGAAATTTGTGGTCTCCATTCGTGGGTGTTTGGGGGCCAGGGGAAACTAACCTTGCTGAGATGCCCAGGTCAGGGCTCTACACTGGGCAAGGTGTCCCCGGGGACCTCCACAGCCGCTCCAAAGAATCACAGCACAGCAAGTACCCCTGTCCACTGGCCCTTCTACGTCTCTCCACACATTTGTTTGACCTTCCTCCGCGGCATCCGCAAAAGTGAGGACCATTCTTTTTGGACCAGAGCTGAAGGAGAGGAAGGAACTATTCTCTTCATGGGAATGAGCTTATCCCTGTTCTTGGGGGAGATGAAGTCTAGGACCTTGAAGACAGTAAGAGTGATGGTTTTGCTCATTTTCAAACTCTTGACACCACCTTTCCAAGCCATAGAAGTAGTCAGAAATAACTACGTTAGAAACAGAATGGAAAATGATGTTACTTGTAGATACAGTTCCCATTTACTAACCCCAAATTCATTCAATAAATGCTACTATTCTCGGTTTACTTGCCTCAGATGCCCTTCAGAGGGGGCTACCAAGTGAACAGATTATTGCTGATCCTGTGAGTGGCTGAAGTTAGATGGAGTCAAGTCTGTTGGGTTATGAGGTGCCTCTGTAGACTCTCTGGAGCAGGAAGAGGGTGCTGCTGCTGGGCTCCCGCCTCCACACTCACTGCAGGCAATTCTGCAGCTTATTTAGAGTCTATGCCAGCCCCCGGCCAGCCCCAAGACTGTAGGACAGCTCCCTCCTGCCCTGAAAGACAAAGCACATCCCCTTTCTCTCCCACTCCCCCACAAGGACCTCCCTCACTGGGACCAGTTGTCTTCCCTACTTGAAGGGCAATGAAGTGAACTGCTTTTCCTGCCGAGCAAGAGGGAGGAGGGCAACAGCGTTTTACCACCTGCAGTCCGTGTGCCACTTGGAGCAAATCTTGAGGTTCCCTTGGCATTCAAAGAGGAGGATCTTAGCCCCTCCAGTCACCACAGTTCTGGAAGGTGTATCAGAGACGAAGCCAAGGTTTTTCACCACTTTGCTAAGTTCCTAAGCCATAGTTCTCAGTTGTAGGACATGATTTTGAAATTGGTGCAGAACCTCACAATTTTATTTCTATGATATGGATGAGTATCCGTGTATTTACATCCATATATATACGTATTGGTAAGACAGATGATTTGCATTTGGAATATGTCCTGAAAATCCAGAGCAGTCCTACACTAGCTAAGTTGGAAATGTTCTAGGAGGACAGAAGCGTAACTGTGAACATGAGCCAGCCTTAGAATCCTGTTGTTCCTTTTTTTAATGTTTCCTTCTGAAGGAGAGAGAGAAAGAGAGAGACAAACCTGTGGTCCTAAGGGTTGGTGGAGCCTGCAGGCACTGGGCAGGAAGGGCTGAACAGCCGATGCTCCATGGTGGCCGCTTCCCATGCTACACGCAGCTTGTTGGGACATGCCATTCAATGGGTCTATTCGCAGCTTTGTTCCCAAGCAGGAAGCCATGCTTGCTGCAGAAAAGACTTAGAATGTTCCTCTGCAGCTAAGGAAAAAGAGAATACAGAAGCTGGCCCCAGATGCCACACAGAGAACACAGCTAGAAAAAGAGAAACAGATTCACGACCCAGAGAACTTCAGCTTGAGGGACAATGAGCTAAAGCTCTGTCTCCAAGGTCTCTCCTTTCATTGGCTAAGGTGGGACCCAGGCTCCCACATTTGTGAAAAGGTGATTCTGCTGTGCAGCCAGGTGAAGAAACTCTGATTTAGAGCATAAGTAATAAGTCAAATACGGTTCCTACCATGATGTGACTCCATCATTCTCAACAAATCTGTTTGTTGCTTTCAAAGGGCTCTGAGTTACTTGTTCTTAATAAAAGCAAATAAAACCCAAACCATCGTCAGTTACCATTTCTCACTTATCAGACTGGCAAAAGTCCAAAGATTTGACAATCCACCCAACGGGGAGGTTGTGGAAAAACGAGACTCTCCTGTATCGAGGATGGAAATGTAAGAACCATAAAGCCCCATGGAGGACAATTTGGCAAGATCTAGTGGACCTTCAAGTGCATTTACTCTTTGACCTCATAATACTGCTTCTGGGAATTTATCCTGCAGAAGGATTTGCACACATATTTGCAAAGCTATCCATCGTAGCATTGTTTGTAATAACAAAAGACTGGAAATGAGCCAAGCATCCATCTACAGGAGACAAGCTGACTAAATCATGATACCTCTAGACAAAGGAATACTATGCAGCTATGAGAAAACAGTGAGGACACCATCTAAAGAGAAACGTGGAAAGATGTCAGAGCCTAGTGAAAAGGGAAAAGTACAGGGGACTGGGCGTGGATGAAAGTGGTGAAAAGATACAACCCCCCAGTTATATAGTAAATAAGTCATGGGATATAATGTACAGCAGGGTGACAGGTAACAATTCTGTATTGTTTATTTGAAAGTTGTGAAGAAAGTAGATCTTAGAAGTTCTCATTACAAGAAAAAAATTGTAACTGTGTGTGATCATGGATGTTAATTAGACTTATCATGGTGATCCTTAGATTGTATATGGAATCATTATGTTGTACACGTGAGACTGATAAAACATATGTCAATTATATCTCAATAAAAAATCAAAACTAAATTCAAAAAAGGAAAGGTACTGGGGCACTTGCGTGGTTCAGTTGGTTGAGCATCCAAATCTTGATTTCACCTCGGGTCATGATCGCAGGGTCATGGGATGGAGCCCCACATTGAGCTCTGCACTACTCATGGATACTGCTTAAGATTCTCTTTCTCCCTCTGTCCCTCTCCCCTGCTCAAGCTATCTCTCTCTCTCTGTCTCTGTCTCTGTCTCTGTCTCTCTTTCAAATAAAAAAATAAAAGATGGGGCACCCGGTTGACTCGGTTGAGTGTCCGACTTCAGCTCAGGTCTTGACGTCTCAGTTCATGAGTTTGATCCCTGCATTGGGCTTGCTGCCGTCAGCTCAAAGCCCACTTTGGATCCTCTGTTGACCTCTTTCTATCTGCCCCCCCACTCACACACTCTCTCTCAAAACTAAACATTTAAAATAAATAAAGGAAAGGTACAGATAATATAATAAGAATTGGTAGATGAGAGGAGCACATTTGTTCATATTTCCATAAAGAACTAGTAGAATAATACATGGGAAGCAGAGATTATGGGGAGGAAATAATGAGGTGATAGAGAACAGGGTGGAAGGGAAGATGTGGGAGTCAGAATCCTCAATCTATACTTTTTTATATTTGACTTTTGAATATGTATTTTATTCCTTTTTCTTTTTCTTTTTTAATGTTTATTTATTTTTGAGAGAGAGAGAGAAAGCACAAGCAGGGGAGGAGCAGAGAGAGAGGAAGACACAGAATCCAAAGCAGGCTCCAGGCTCCGAACCGGCAGCACAGAGCCCAACAGAGGGCTGGAACCCATGAACTGTGAGATCATGACCTGAGCTGAAGTTGGATGCTTAACCGACTGAGCCACCCAGGTGCCCCTGAATCATGTCGTTTGTATCTGACTTTGAATCATCTGAGTTACACACACACACACACACACACACACACACACACACACACTGGATGATCAAATATAGATATCTAGACTGGACAAGTTTTACTTGATGATTAGGGTCAAGATTCTGGCACCCAGAAAGTGCAAAATCAAGTGATTCAGAACTTTAACAATTTTTTTTTCTTTTTTGGAACTGGTATGCTCTCTGTCAAGATTAAAAAAACTGGAACAGAGCTGTTAAGATTTATTCAAAGCAGCTTCAGAGTTGAAGAAATGTAGAAATAAATTATCTTGCCCATTTCTCTTTCAGATG